CTCCGTGAGTGGATGATATATAAGTGTATAGGAGTATATAGTGACATATAGATGACAGCCTGGGGAACCCTGTGGTTCCGTTCTCTGCCACACAGGGGCGCGCCTGTAGTTAAAATCCACTCACCAGCTCTTAGTGGCATCCAACCCCCAGTGGAATTAATTAATAGCACTGTGAACTAGAAATTTTGATTTTGTTGCTTTTAAGTGCCTTCCTGTATGTTCCAACTCATATCGACCCTGCACAGATGGCCCGGTCCTGCGCCATCCTGACAATCTTTGTTAAGCTTGAACCCATTGCTGCTGCCATTGTGCCAATCCATCTGGATGAGGATTTTCCTCTTTTTCACTGACCGTCCACTTTACCAAGCATGATGTCCTTCTGCAGGAACTGGTCTCTTCTGATAACATGTCCAGAGCATGTGAGATGAAGTTTCCCCATCCTGGCTTCTAAGGAGCACTCTGGCTGTGCTTCTTCAAACACAGATGTGTTTGTTCTTCTGGTAGTCCATGTACTTTAACATTCACCTCTATCACCGTGATTCAAATGCATTAAATCTTCTACGATCTTCCTTATTCATTGTCCAACTTTCACATGCATATGAGATTATTGAAAATACCATGGCTTGAATCAGGAACACATTAGTTCTCAAACTGACATCTTTGCTCTTGAACACTTTAAAGAGGTCTTGTGCAGCAGATTTGCTTAATGCAATTATGTCATTTGATTTCTTGACTGCTGCTTCCATGAGTGCCGATAGTGGATACAAGCAAAATGAAGTCTTTGGCAACTTTAATCTCTTCTCCTCTGTATCATGATGTTATTTATTGGTCCGGTTTTGAGGATTTTTGTTTTCTTTACATTGGGGTGCAACCTATACTGAAGGCTGTGGTCTCTGATCTTCATCAGTAAGTATTTTAAGCCCTCTTCACTTTCTGTAAGCAAAGTTGTGTAATCTGTATATCACTGGTTGTTAATGAGACTTCCTCCAATCCTGATGCCCCGTTCTTCTTCATATACCCCAGCTTCTGGAATAAGTGTAGTGAAAGCTGTGATCTCCAGCATGGTTCTATCACCCAATAACTGATCCTTCTTCTTTGTTGCCTTTTGCATTCCAATCATCAGGAATTATCAATACCTTTGATTGCATGTTTGATCAATTCCAGACTAAAGAAGATGCTGCAAATCTTCAATTTCATCATCACTG